GGGCTGTATTTGGTTGGTGTTGAGACAGGGTTGATGTGTCTAGTTTCTGTTGTTGATGCTGTAGAGGGATGCTGTGTGACGCTGGTTTATAAGATTGTATATGAGGTGCATCACGAGACATATTTGGTGCATTATGGGTGAAGCTAGGTATTGGAGGAGGCGGTGGATTCAGACTACTAATTGATGACATTGGTAAACTGAAAAGAGAAAGAGAAAGATTATATCTGCTGGTTATTTTATCAAAGATCATTTATTGAAATTTATTGAATTTATTGAGCTTAGTGTTTACATTACTGGACCATTGAAACCTTAACTTAAAACCTTCCTGCATTTCCCCCATTTTCTGTTAAAGGCTTCATTTAGGACTCTACTCTCCTTTCCTTGGATGAGTTCTTCGAATCAACTGGAAGTTCAAACAATTTGGAACAGGATTGAAGCCAGAATTGACAGAACTTCTACAGAATTAACTAATCGTTTCAACAGTTCATCAAATAATAAAACTCATCCTACCTATTTAAATAAGCCTCTACTCTAGCAGTCTGTGTTGTATTATGTTGCATTGGTTCCACTCTCGATACTCCACCATCTTCTTCAATATACTGACTGAACGGAGCTAGTGTTTCACGTCCAGGACTACCTAGTCTCTCACGCCCCAGACTTCCTAGTCTCTCCCGTTCAGGACTAGCCATTCCGTCTCTACTAGGACTACTAGTTTTAGGTATTTGTTGTAAACTGAGGTTTAAACTAGGGTTGATCAGACTGTTATTACCGTCTGCTGGGACTGGTGGAATGGACGAAACTGCCGATAGCTGGAAATATCAAATCAAATAAAAATAGTTTTATATGAGCAAGTGTCCAGTCTCTAATAAAATATTATAAAACCAAATGATGTAACCTGTGTTTAACTGAAAACCTTTCCATCATTAATGCCCCTAAGAACACTTTTTTAATTAAACGTTCCGAACTCGTCTGGTAGTGCGGACTTGAGAATAAGTTCTACTTATCTTACATCAGTAGGAACGCAGGCTGGAAATAGGTCAGTTGTTTGAAGATCGCATATCGTGAAACTCTGATTAACAACAAATTTTTTTAATTTCTGTTTGAATATTTCTAATATTATCAGGTATATGGAGCACCAATATAATAAATAATTAAGTTTGAGTGGCCTCAGAATTTTATGCAAAAAACACAATCCTTTGGCTAATATCTATGAAAAATGGCGTGACCAATAGATGGAGCTAACAGTATCTTACCTGTCTACGTCTAACTGGTGTATTAATCAACAGAGTAACAGCTTCATTCCATTGAGATTGCATCATATACTGTAACTTAGTTAAAACTTCCATTCTATAAAATTAATCAAATAACTTTGTCTTTGAATTGTGTTCAGTTAAATTCTGACCCACTAGAATTATCAATCAAATTAACAGTAGAAAGTAGACTAATATTACAGTTTTTGTTTAATAATCCTGTCACACTTAAACGATGTCTTTACTGCGCTGCTATGGAGATTGAAATCCTATCATAAGCGTGTAGAAAAAGACAGACATCGTACAGTAGTTGCTAATGTTAAAGGAGAACTGGTAAGAACCCAATAAGCATGGTGGGAACACGATGATATCTCTGGTGGAGATTCCTACCGAGCTCATAGCGCAAAACAGTAGAGTCGGTCATCATGCAATATTGTTGAGATAGGAGAGCGACTGTTTTAGACTTTATTTGTTTTAGGGGTTTTTCTCGTGTATTCTTTACGTTTGCTGGTGACCTAGTAATTTTCTAATCGCAGTCCGGTGTGACTGAGGTATAAAATAAATAAAATGGTTTCATCTTGATCTGTGACAGGACTGAATACAAGACTTCTGGATTAGCAAGCAAGCGCAAAACTCGTCACCTAGCCCCTTATAATGAAGATATAACACAGTCATTACGTAGAATATAAATATAATATACAATACCTCTGTGACTCTAACTTCTGTTTGATATTTTTTAATGATGTATTTTCTTTTCTGTATTCTCTCAACCTAAAAATATAATGTAAGTTTTTATAAAGACATTAGGCAACACCAATTTATAAACTTGGATTACGGGCCTGCCGACCTGCTTTTTTGACGAATCCCAATAAAAATAAAAATGAAAAAATCTATTTTTTTTTTTATTCTTACTGTGTCCGCCGATGTAAAAATTTCAACACGAAATCCTAAAGGGACGTAACTCGGTTGATAAGTTGTACTCGCTTAGCGAAAGCGTTCACTGTTGAATGGTCAGTCAGTGTTATTGAGACAAAAGGCTAGTTCCACGATGTTTTTGATAACGGTACTACAAAGCAAGTACGACTATGCAAATGAGGTGCCTGCAAATTTCTAAAATAAATCTTGAACCGAAGCTATTTTCATTCGAAAGATAAATTGGTTTGTAATATGTTGATTGTTGGCTAGATAGTTTTAAAATTTGTTGTATTATGAGATTAGTTCTGGAAATGTGGAAAAGCCTTTCAAAAACTAAAATAAACCAACAACACATGATTTGTGATTTGGTTCGTTCCAGTCTGCAAATTTTGTAAAAATTCTCTCGTCAGCCATTATTCAATTGTTGTGATGAAAATACATCTATGTGAAAATGTGAGAAAATGAGCGTTAAACTCGATGTTAATATCAACGTCTCCATGTGTACCGAGGGCCGTGTCACAAAACGAACCATAGTGCGTGCCTGTGATGACGAAAATGTTGGTAATTTGTTGACGCGCTCCGGATGGCAGGACACAGAAGAAGTAACCGTCTCCAGCGTTAAAGCCGGTATCGAAATAGACCATGAAACTACCGATGTAGAGATAGTTACACCCATAGCAGTTTTAAGACAATTTAATTTTAAATCCATAAGGTTTAATCTGGTGTTTGTTTGTTTCCAAAGGATATAAATAAAGTTTTAAATACATTCCTTTTTCGTCTTCTTGAAATGCAGATTTTTTTTTTTTTTTTATTTTTATCCCCCCCTGCTCCCTGCTTTTTTCAAAAGTTTTGCCCGTAATTCAACTAATTAAATTGGTGTGGCCTTAAGGAAATAAAATGTTGAATCATTATCAGACAAAAAGGTGTGTATTTATAGATTTTGATGAAAAAATATGTAAATTAGATGTACCAGAGCTAAATTCCAGGAATATGACAATCCAGTTGTCTGATTGGCCAATTTAAGTCTAACAGTACTATTTTGAGGCGGCTTCTCGAATTCTCATACAAATAATGGAAAAATCTTTTACTTAGCTCAGACAATAGATTTATTAATTATTAAAAAAACTAGAAACCGGTCCAGACTTACTGATTTTCACCATCGACAATCTGTCTTCGTAATTCCTCTTCTTTTTCTAAAACTTGTTCGTGGAATTCTTGAAGTTGTTTCTCCAGGTCAGTTTGTTGACGTTTCTGTAATTCTATAACTTGTTTACGATGGCGTTCCTGTATCTCATTAACAGTTCCCTCCATTTTCTTCTGAACATCTTCTATCTGTTCACAGATCTAAAATATCATAGTCAATATTGATGCTCTTTTAAGGGGATTGTAAAGAGTTTGTTTTATAACTTTATAACTGCGATCAAGGACACTTATCGATTTGCACCATTTTAAAGCCCTAATAACTGGCAAAACAACAAACCTGTAATTTCAGAGAATATCATAAACATATACTGTACCTCTTTTTCCATTTGAGCCTGTAAATCAACCTCTAGTTTTCTGGTAGCACTTTCATACTTGGCTTCCATGATAGACATTTCAACTTTTACACTTTCCTACAAAAAATATATATTATTCAATATCTTAATTTCATAAAACAAAATTGACACAAAAAATCTCTATTTTATAAATTCTGTACAAAAATATTTAAACGCACAGTTTTCTTCAATTGATTTGAAATATGTCCTGTAATGAAATGAAAAGAAGAAAAAAAGTGGAAAATTAATGACAGCACTAGGTTAGATATCTGAAACTTCTGCTGGATTTGGCCCTTCGCCCTTTAAGATCTTTAATAAAATAAGAAGGAGCATTACCTTTTCTCTGAGAGTAGAATCGAGAGTTAATTCTAATTTTTTAATTTCTGTCATCAACTGTCTCATTCTATCTTCTAATTCTTTAACTCGTTCTTCAGATTCATCAGTTTTTCTCTACAAAAAAATATATTAAATATTATCATAATCCTAGACTTATAAACACTTATTCAGATGTCAGATTTGTCTTAATACCAGACAGAAAAACCTGGCCATGTATTCTCAAAACAATCTTAGCTATAAGATATCCTAGACACAGTGTTAGAACTTAATACCCTAGGATATCCTAGACACAGTGTTAGAAGTTAAGACCCTAGGATATCCTAGAAACAGTGTTAGAAGTTAATACCCTAGGATATCCTAGAGCTCAGATCATTTTGAGAACACATGACCTGAACTCTAAGCTGCTATCACTGAGACTATTTCATCAAATTTACAGAAATTACAGTCATTTTTTTCAGGCTTATATAAAGAGGAAAACAACCCTTATGAAAATTTTCTCAATAAATCAAAAAGGCACATACCCTTTCCATGTGTATCACTTTTAAATTAGCATCTTTGACTTCATCTATTTTACCCAATAAATCCTGTTCCCTTCTATAGAATTCATCTTGTTCCTAGAGATACATAAATAAACACAGATTATATATACTAGTTCTGATATGATACATAGAAATAAATACATGGTGATACAACTTGATACAACTCATGTATCTTAATGGTGTATTGACCTACTCTATGATACAGAAATAAACACAGATTATATATACTAGTTCTGATATGATATATAGAAATAAATACATGGTGATACAACTTGATACAACTCATGTATCTTATTGGTGTATTGACCTACTCTATGATACAGAAATAAACACAGATTATATATACTAGTGCTGATATGATACATAGAAATAAATACATTGTGATACAACTTGATACAACTCATGTATCTTATTGGTGTATTGACCTACTCTATGATACAGAAATAAACACAGATTATATATACTAGTGCTAAATAAATACATTGTGATACAACTTGATACAACTCATGTATCTTATTGGTGTATTGACCTACTCTATGATACAGAAATAAACACAGATTATATATACTAGTGCTGATATGATATATAGAAATAAATACATAGTGATACAACTTAATACAACTCATGTATCTTATTGGTGTATTGACCTACTCTATGATACAGAAATAAACACAGATTATATATACTAGTGCTGATATGATATATAGAAATAAATACATTGTGATACAACTTGATACAACTCATGTATCTTATTGGTGTATTGACCTACTCTATGATACAGAAATAAACACAGATTATATATACTAGTGCTGATATGATATATAGAAATAAATACATTGTGATACAACTTGATACAACTCATGTATCTTATTGGTGTATTGACCTACTCTATGATACAGAAATAAACTCAGATTATATATACTAGTGCTGATATGATATATAGAAATAAATACATTGTGATACAACTTGATACAACTCATGTATCTTATTGGTGTATTGACCTACTCTATGATACAGAAATAAACACAGATTATATATACTAGTGCTGATATGATACATAGAAATAAATACATTGTGATACAACTTGATACAACTCATGTATCTTATTGGTGTATTGACCTACTCTATGATACAGAAATATACTAGTGCTGATATGATATATAGAAATAAATACATTGTGATACAACTTGATACAACTCATGTATCTTATTGGTGTATTGACCTACTCTATGATACAGAAATAAACACAGATTATATATACTAGTGCTGATATGATACATAGAAATAAATACATTGTGATACAACTTGATACAACTCATGTATCTTATTGGTGTATTGACCTACTCTATGATACAGAAATAAACACAGATTATATATACTAGTGCTGATATGATACATAGAAATAAATACATGGTTATATGGTTATTGGTGAAGATAACACAGTCTTTAATATCTAGCTAATATTTATATTTAATATACCCAGCTGTAAATGGGTACAGATCATCCAGAATCAATGCCAAGAGGTTTGCTCAAGGACCAGCTGGTAGAAAAGATCCTTGTGAACCTAAGTTGTTATCCTTGTAAAATCATTACCAAGAGGTTTGATCAAGGACCAGCTGGTAGAAAGGATCCTTGTGAACCTAAGTTGTTATCTTTGTTAAATATAGTTGTTTCCTTCTTTGCCAAGAGTTTTGACCAGCTGGTAAAAAGGATCCTTGTGAACCTAAGTTGTTATCCTTTTAAAAAGTGGTTGTTTCTTTGCCTCACTGGATAGTTTTTTTATCTACTATGGGTGGATGGTTGGGGGCAATTAAAAACAGATTTTAGAAACTAACTTACATGATGAAGCCTATCTTGGGCAACTTGAGCTCGTTTTTCAGCCAGTTCTCTAGATTCTTTCAGTTGATCCCATTCTATCATCATTAAACTAGTCTTCTCTTTTTCTCCTTCTAATATATCTTCTATAGATTTCTTTTCTTTTACTAGATGTTTAACCTGGAAATATCACTTTCTTCACTTATTACACATTCCCTCTTGAGGAGTATAGCAAAGTACCTTGCTGATAAGATAAATAAGAATCTGTCATTACCAAAATGAAGTGTCTTATTGATAAGCTATTATAAAACAAGTTATTTGAAGTTATATATCTGTAAAAATGTGTTTATTGGTGAAATGGAACTTACTCTGATTTCTAGTGTATTTAATTGTTCAGTAAACAAGATTCTTTCTGACTGGAATTTCTCTTCCATTTCACATATCTTTCTATCAAAATTATTCTGAACCTAAAATATCAAATATCAAAATTATTATGAACCTTAAATATCAAATATCAAAATTTATTCTGAACCTATAATATCAAATATCAAAATTATTATGAACCTTAAATATCAAATATCAAAATTTATTCTGAACCTATAATATCAAATATCAAAATTATTATGAACCTAAAATATCAAATATCAACATTATTCTGAACCTAAAATATCAAATATCAAAATTATTCTGAACCTAAAATATCAAATATCAAAATTATTCTGAACCTAAAATATCAAATATCAAAATTTCAAAAGGACATTTGATAAAGATGAATCAACACTAATGCTTTAAAATATCATTGATAAGACATTAAACAGAAATAAAATATCAAATTTCAAAACTAGAACATCTTTGGATGCAGTTTATAAAGAGATTTGATTAAAATTCATCATCAATATTATGTTTTCTTCAGCATACTGAGAAAACTGACATATTTATTCAAACCAGTCTAAGCTAGAACTTCAATTTAGCTCAATAAAATATCAAACATTACAAAAAACTTCACCAAAATGTAAGAAGAGGTGTATGAAGATTAAAACTAAGGTATGTGAAATAGAGAAGGAAATTAGAAGATTATTCAAAAGAGAGAACTTACCAGCTGTTGTTTTTGAAAACTTTCTTCCATCTTTCCTTTCTCCTTCATTAAAACTTTTAAATATTCGTCTTTCTCTAGTTCTCGTTTTCTCCAGCCTTCAACTACCCGAGCTAGTTGTTTATCTAATTGTTCTATCATTATATCTTTCTTTTTATCTGTTGATATGGCAACCGCTACTTGTTGTTGACTTTCTAATAACTGTTAAACAAAATATAAATTTCTATATTGCAATTGTAAAAAGCTGAACGACCATTTTAGATATAAGATTTAAAGTTTTGTTTATTATCAATTTCATCCCAAAATCAATTTCAAACAAAAACACTCAATTTGCACACCAATGAATGGTTCAGTTCTTATAAAAATATAACCTTCAGCTATTTCTATTCTCATCTTCAATATCCCATCTATATTAATCTAAAATATCAAATCTTTATTTATCTGAATATATCTTACCTTGGAGTTTAATTGTTGAATCTGTTCTTCACAATGCTGGAAAATATAAACATTCAAATATACGTAATATTAGATAGAAAGATTTCACATACATAGTACCTAAAGTACGTGGACATTGTTTTATAGTCCCATCTGAACGACTAGACATTTTCTCTATGACAGCTTCTTCAACCTGCATCACTGACAGGGGGAAACCAGGTTCAAAAATCTAAACGTATTATCTCAACTTATGTCAGATTTGAACCCTGTACCTTCAGATTAGCGAGCAAGTGTCTAACTGACTGAATTACTCCACCGATTATAATTCTTACCTTTCTACGATATCTCTCCCGTTCTAGAGCATCTCGTAAATACTGGTTCTCATTCTGTATGGATGACTCTGTTCTAACGTTACTGGTGTTGATATCTGTAAATATCTTAGAAGAAAAACTCGGAAAATTTTCAAAAATATCAGGTACATCTTCTGGTACTCTTCCTCTGAAAAAATAAAAATAGATCAGTCAGAAGCCAATACTCTCTAAGGTAATGTCACAACCTGTCTTACCTAGAGTCAACCCAGTGTTGACTTTCAACCCTTTCATGTTTCCACAATCCTAAAAATTCCAATAACAGATCTGGAAATAAGGTCCGTATTTAATAAAAATTTTAACATGCAGAATGTACAATCACACTTTAATCCTAGTAAGTTTACAATAACATGTGTTTCACAGAAAAGTCAGTAAGAGTGATGATTTAACATAAAATACTCAGTGTTATTGTGTTATCAAAACTCAAGGACACTCAAGGTCTAAGTTTGGTTTAATAGATCATTGAAATCAATGTCTAGACTTACCCAATTAGTGAACTAGTATCTAAACTATGCCCTGGACGAGTTATAGGATGTTCCAATATCAATTCACTGGGACTGACATTAGCATCTGTTACAGGAACATCTGAAAACAACACAAATGAGTATTGCACATAGTCCTTGAGCGAAAAAATCAAAGCTATAATTGAGCAAAGAAATTTATTCAAATGGGTCCAATTAAAAACATAAACACGAGCAGTGTCAGATAAACAAATTATCTATTATTCCCTCTAAAATATAAGCTTACTATAGTAAAAAACCATTCTCTTACCACTAAATGAGTTACCAGCTCCACGTAACATATTGTGAAGATGAGCTCGGACTTCTTCCATACCCTGTATATCAACATTAACATCCCCTGGGGTGTGGAGATTGCCCCCTCCTCCCCCACTCCTTCTAACACCCTGATTCACTGCCATCTGAACCTGCTGTAATGTAAAATATCAAGCTCATTCCTATGGCTCCTTCAATTAAAGAAATGCTGAACTGTAAGCTTATCACTATTGCAAAAGCCAGTTTTAGTGGAATTACCAAAATCCCCGACATCTAATTGAAAATTGGAATGATGCAAATCAGTGCCATATTATTCATTTCGTATATTTTGTTATTTCTTTGCGATAATCACATTATAAAGTGCTTAGTGTTAGTGTAATTGCAAGAACCATCGAAGTCTTAGAATTGAAAATTGTAATGGTGCAAATTGATGCTATCAGTGTCCCTGATACACATAAAAAGTTTAGAAAACCTCTTTACAATCTCTTTAACAAAGCTGAATATTTCAACTACAAAACAAAACCAACCTGATGTGTCCTGGTATGTGATTGGTTGGTTATATGATAAGATCGTCCAGTGTTGGGACTGTATCGCACATCAACCACTCCTAAATCTTCACTACCAACATCCGAGTTAGCGTAAGATGGTTGATACTGGTCACTGTTCTGATAACCAACAGTTGCTTCCCTTTGTAAACTCATTCCACTCCGTCTCATTGTCATGGAGTTTTGATTGTCACTATAGTAACTCATTTGATCATCAGAATCAGGATTATTGTGAGTAAAGACATCTCTAGTTATGACATCATCTTGTCCGACACCAGCGATACGATTTTCAAATTGTGATGAAGGATGTTGAACTTGTTGACCATCTTGGTGTACCCCACTACGAGGGTGACCATACGTCTGCCTCTGTTGATCCAAGGGAATTTGTCGTGCAGTATCCCTTGGATTCTGTGTAAATCTAGCAACTGGTTTCTGTCTTTCCTGGACGTTCCCACCTTGTGCATTCGGTCGTGGTCTGGGTTGAATCTGCTGACGTGACAAATTAGATCCCTGTCTATTCTGATTGGTTCCCGTCTTGCCTCTAGCTCCTCCCATAGCTTGAGTTTGACGTTGATCGTGTTTTTCTTGACGTGAACAACCTCTTGGTTCAGGGATCTTAGACTTATGATTATGATGTGCTAAATTTTGTCGAGTTGGTTTTTGAGGATGATTTGATTTCTGAGGAGCGCCGTCATCTGCATTTTGATTCATATTAGGCAAAGAATGATACTGATCTACTTCCGAAGAATTGTCGTCTGCATTTCTTACAGGTCCCTGGTCACTATGGAAACTGTCTAATCCTTCTTCTTGGACCTCTGCTGGATCAGCATCCGAAATGGGAGAATAATTTGGATGATTAGGAAAGACAATTTCAGTCGAGTCGGTAACAACTGTCCACCATTATAATTATCATTATGAATTCCTGACGGTCGGAATCTTTCAGGCAGCTCATTTTCAGGGTATCTCGGCTCCGACTGACCGGATGCTCCAGAGTTATTTTGAGAAGCGTAGACAGCTAGTTGTTTTTTAACATTTCTCAACTGAGTCTGGTCGGAATTTTGATCTCCTGCATCATTAAATGAAAGTTGATCGAACTTATTTGGTAATGACCATTCAAAAATATCGTCTGGGCGTTTCATCAGCTCATTATTGGGCAAAATTTCACCTGGACTAGGATTAGACAATTTTCCAGGTGAATTTTGAACTCTTCCAGGCGATACATTAAGATATGGTTGGCTTCCATCACCCTGGACATGACCTCGGCCAGTCGGTGTACTATTATCAGGAATGGGACTGAATTTCAAACGTCGAGGACTACGCGGGACATCTCCGTCATCGTGTTCATCCAAACTATCGTATAAATTGGGAGATTCTGTATAGTTGTCATTAGATACCAGGAATCCTGTAGAATCAGTTTGTGGTACAGTTGGAGTCGGAAAACTGAATCCCTGACGAGTCTGATCATCTAAGGGAGACGCATGACCTTCAATTATACGTAAACTTTGATTATTATGAGCTGAAAATTCTGTTTTTTCACGACTTGTTTCAATCGAAGACAAACCGTTATCATAATTGTCTTCTACATCTGAATTTTGCTGTATATCTGAATCAGTCGCATCTAAAAAATTCAATGCTTTCATGGGTGTAAACAGTTCCACATCTTCTTGCAAATTTTCACTAACTTTTGGACTTTTTGCCAACAATGGACTTGCTCCCTTATCATTAGAATAGCCCTGATGTTCTTGACTAGGTAGACTCTCTTTACCAGTCTGTTGTCCGCTATCTACGTCACTTTCTGTCACGTCTTGGGGTAGTTTTTCACTCATTTTGATAATGTCTACCGTTTGTTGATTGTCAACGACTTTCTGATTTTTATCGAACTGTGAATAAAGATGAAGAAAATCTCCCATTATCTAAAACAACCATCACTGGATATCATACTCATTTTTATATCACCTGAAATAAATAAAAAATTGTCCATCTTTAATTAATCTTATTAAAAAAAAAACCAGAAAACTTTCTGTTACATCTAAGGCCTCTCCTTCTGACCTTTGCCTGAATTTTTAAAATTGTTGGTTTATTAGAACCAGTACCATAATTTCAACATGAAAGACTTAAAAGATTTTGATTAATGTTGCTGGTTTGTTGTCTGTAAACCTACATGATGTGTCGAAGTGAAGTAGCTAATGACTTTTGTAACAAATTGAACCAAACCACATGGCAGTATGATATTTCATTTCTTAGAAGACCAATTTACTTTACAAATCTTGTACAACTAATTTGAGCCTGCACGGTTAGTCTAGCCTAATGCCACTGATTAGTAACAGTCAGACACTCAGTGGGCCATTCAATGGCAACAAAATTGCCAAAAAGTTTTAGTGTTAGGGTTAGCAAAATCAGCCTTATTCTATGACTGGCGTGTGACTTTAATTTCAAATGTCCTTAGGTTTTGAGCATTTAGGAACATGTGTGGATGTTGAAAAAGAACAAGACTAAACATGCAAAATCAATAACATTCAAGTTTGTTGACAATTTTATTTTCTTGTTTATTAACATTTTGACATGATCGGCAAATCAACTGCTATTTTTTGAGATGTTATCAAAGCAGACTATACAAAATATCGTGTGATTTGAAAGGGATGCATTTGTGTTGCTGTCAGGCTGAGATTTTTTGTGATATATGATAATGTACCTTCATATTTTCAGAAAATATCAACTCATGTGTCACAGTTTTCAAACAAGACGGTATTCATTTTGCGCATGCGTATTTAGAAATACGTACAATTTTAAATTTGAAAAAATCTGAAATGACATAAAAAAAAATAATTTGAGATCATAAGATCCATTGTGTTGTAGGTGATTTCAATTATAAATGAAATCGGAAATTTGAAAAACATACTTTATGAGAATCTTCGTTTTAAAATAAAAACTGAATTCATTTTTTTAATCACCCGAACTAGAATATTATTGGACAAATAGTTCAACATTTCAAAACATATCGGAAGTTTCATCTTTGATATTTGTTCGATTTTTATTTCAAATATTTTAAATACATGACTATCTCAACATAAGGAATAAAGAAAAAGACAAAAATGGCAATTATCAAGAAAAACATGGATTTCTCTACATCGGATGTTTGTGAGGTGTTGCTAGGCACTTCCGGAAGGAGTTTCACTGATTAAAAAAAAAATCAATAAAGAATTTAGGTTATTGTATAAAATGACGATTTATAATTTCTACGTCTTCGACAGAAATGGAACTTGTCTGTACTATGTTGACTGGAATCGACGGAAACAATCTGGAATGTCTGCAGACGAGGTGAATAAAATTTCAAAGCCATTGGCTGTCATAGCTGACAAGTGTCCAATGGACATGACGTTCTTTTCATTCACTGAAGTCATAAGTCTGGGAAAGGAACACATTAAGCCTATATAGTTTTAAATTACCTTAGGATAGTGTTTATGATAGCAAGATCTTAAACTTAAATATCTCATAAAGTTTAAAGACGAGAAATTGATGCATAAGGCTATGGGTAGTTATATTTTTGTTTTGAAGATAGGATATGAATAGATTGAAAGAAAAGTGTTGTATTGTAACAGAAGAGATTGTTAAGGGCTAATATCATTAATATTTTTATATTTTTCAGGAGTATAAGTTAATGTATGGTATGATTTTCTCTATCAAGTCATTTGTCAACAGAATTTCACCTACAGACGTGTATCCTTTTACAATTATCCTAGTGTAAAACTAGTGAAAGGGTTTTAAAGATAATACAGAAAAAATACAGAAAAATTCTTCAAATCAAAAATTGGCATGCATTCCAAGCAAAACTCCTAATAACTCTAGCATTCAAGAACTTAATACTGACTGAAAAATCCACAAGCTATTGGTGATATTTTCGTAACAGCTTGTATATGTGTAGAAGGGGAGAAGGGGTGAAAATATATCCTTAAATTTAAGGTTAAGGTGGTTGAAAGGTAAGGCTGCAGCAATTCTTGAATTTGACTAAACGGCACTCATCTGACGGTGAATAGTTGCAGTTCTATCGAAAAGTAACAAGTTACTCTTTTAGTAACGTAGTCATAGTTTTAGGTTACTCTTGATTTAAAGTTCATTTGTGCTTATTATACCTTAATTAGAATCTCAGTAAAGATGGTTTTATGTCGTTTAAAACAAGTCAGTATAAACTACATTTTTTTGAAAGTTTAAGTGGTTTAAAGTTTATAATGAATACAGATTTAAATGTTGGTAATATTCGAGATAATTTAAAACAGATTTATAGCACAGTAAGTATCTTATTTTAGTTTATTCTTGGCACAAATCCATTTTAAATTTAATTTCAATATTTAATATTCATTGAACACTGAATGTCTAAGATTATAAATAGCTCCTGATAGTACTTCTAGATTTTCAATTCTTCTTTTTGACAGACGAGATGAAAATATTCTGAGATCTCCCTACAATAGAGGAAATAGTACTCGGCAATTTTAGTGATGATAGTTTTGGTTTCTCCATTAAAATTAGAATTAAAATGCCTCTTTTACTTTATTCCTAATAATGAATTAATTAAAAGTTTGATATTTATTTATATTTTCAGATCTATGTAGAATATGTAGTTAAAAACCCGAACTGTGAATTAGATAAACAGATTACTAGTGATTTATTTCGAACTAAATTAGACGATTATATCAAAGGTCTTCCTTTCTTCGCTGCTAAAGTTTCTTAATTTCACTTGAATATGGATAGTTTAGACTTTTAATGAACTTGATTTGGTCAAAGACAGGAAAAACTTGGATTAAAATTTGAATGAAAGTTCAAACTTATTTGATCTAGAGTTGGACTTGAATTGGAACTGGAATAAAAGTTTATTATGAAAGGATCAAGAAGGCAATTTCAGGGTTCTGGTGCGTGGCTAAAAATAATGTGCCAGTCATTTATTTGACACTCCTCAATCTCTGGTGGACTAAGTTTTGCATTTGAATATAAAGCTGTGTTTTGATTAATGAGAAGAGTAAGATTTTTTTGTCTGTTGAATATTTTCAACCCTACAGTTAACTAAAAAAAAATGTGTGTATCTTTGGAAAACTGGACTCAAGTGTTATTGTTCCTGTGGACCTCGGTAAATAGTCCCAACTTGTTGTTTTATTGAAATATCCTATCTTGTGATGTGACCAGTAACTGTTTGCACTGTCTTTTAGACCATAAAACAGTGATAACAAGGTTATAATTATTATTTCTGCACTTGGGATAGAAGTTTGGCTTCATAGATGACTCACTGTGATTTTTGTTTTTGTTTTATTCACATTCAGCGTGTATATTTAATTTTTTTATGAAGAACAGTTTATCAAACCTGGACTTTAGGAGATAGCTAGGATAACTCTGAATAAATTAGTGCTTTTGATTTTACTCATTGAAAGAGACGACATGAAACATTTAGCCAAGATATTATCAGCTCTAAATCAGAAATATACTCCTCATGGAGAAAAGATTTATTGTTAATGGATTGCTTATGAAACCAATATTTATCTGTGTAAATGTATAATTTGTAAATAAGGAATAAATATTGTTTCAATATAGAAGGTTAAGTATTTTTAGCCTTATGAAGAGTTGGTCCATTATCATTTCCATAAATCTGTTGATCATCATTATATTTGATTCAAATAAATTAACACTGAATCATTGTGCTTTTACTGTGTCAACTGTTATTGCAATTACGACTGATCTACAATATATATCTACATGGTATGATGAATCAGTAACCCTTCATGTCACTCGCTGGAAGGAAATATCACAAGCAAAGGCCTACATTATCAATATGTATCAATATTAATCGTCAAAAACAGCAGGTACAGTGTAAAAGAATCAATTGTTGTCTGTATTTGATATGATGATAAAATGAAGTTACTTCCCTTTAATTAATAAACCTTTAATTTTACGACAACCGTTATCAAGTTTAACTAGGTCTAGTAGAATAATTCTTTGTTAGATATAGGCCTATTATAATGATATCGCTTTCAATTTTTATCTCTAGTCTTTCGCCTATGACTATGGCCGCATTTTTAGACAGCTCTGATGTGTAATATTTAGTATGTCGAGACAAACCTAAGATTTTGAAGAACTATTGTTTGGCAGTGCCGAAGATTTTACATACCGGTTCCTATATCTTTGATATTAAGCTTAAGGCGAAGTAAAGTTAATTGTTTATTACTAGACAGTTGTAGCTATTGGTCTCATCTTTTAAGCTCTTCTGTTTAATTAGGTAAGTATAGAATTGTGACGAGACAGTAGTTTTATGGAATCTGTTGGTTATTTACAGTTACTAAGTTTGGCCTAGGGACCATACGCTAAAGGGAAGTGTATGCCAGTGCCACCTGCATTAAAACAGGAATTATGACCACACCCTGTCGACCCGTCTCCCTGGCCAACCAATGATTAATTAATTGATATTTCGAGAGGTATCTTAGTTTTTACATAAATGTCAAAAGAGAGAGTAGCCTAGCCTAACATTTTTTACCATTAGCCTACAATCAGTTTTAATTGTGCCTGAAGATAATGACACCAATATTTTGAAATAGATTTATTTAACCAGTATTCCACTATAACGAGATATATGTGTAGAGACTTAGACATTATTTACTTTGCCAGCAAATAAAAACTGTTAATTTATCTATTTATTTAATTATTACAGATAATATGCGGGAAACGTAGGCCTGAACAAGATCCAGTGATACCCCATTTTTGACCATTCGGAGAAAGGACTGGTTGCAGCAATTCTTGTAGACTACCATCCCGACACTTTCTCGAGTGTAGCTGCGAAACTAATATTTATTGAATATTTATTGAAAATGGCTTCGAAATTCCTGAAATTGAATTCAAAAAGGGGATTTCCCATGCCTGCTGTGGGACTAGGAACGTATCAAATGAAAGGAGATATATTGAGAGAAGCCTTGGATTACGCTTTATTTCTCGGCTACCGACATATTGATACTGCATTAAGTTACGGAAACGAAAAAGAAGTGGGCGAGGTTGTGAATTGGTGGATTAAAAATGGTAAAATTCGACGTGGGGAAGTTTTTATAACAACTAAAGTTCCTCCTGTTTATTTAGAATTTAAAGATACCCTGAAAAGTGCCGAGCAATCACTAGATAACTTAAAACTACCGTTTGTAGATATGTTACTGATTCATCATCCTTGCGGTAACGTCAACCGTAAGGACGGAACGTTAAAGCCGTTGAATTCTAAAGGTGAACGGGAACTGGCTAGTTACGATACGACGGAAACGTGGCGGGCGATGGAACGACTTGTTTCTGAAGACAAAGTCGTCCATATTGGACTCTCCAACTTTCAACCCAGTGCAATCAATAAAATATGGAAGTACAGTAAAGTGAAACCGTCGAATCTACAACTGGAATGCCACGCCTATCTTCAACAAAACGAACTTAGAAAATTGTGCAATAAGAAAAAAATAGTGATGACGGCGTATGCTCCTTTAGGCGCCATCACTCGCCCTGAACAAAGTCCAGATCAACCAGTTTTATTGGAGGATCCAACTGTCAATCAAATAGCAAAGGAACTCGACAGAACGCCTGGAGAAATTCTTCTCAAATTCGTTACCTTATTAGGCAATACTGGCGTTCTTCCAAAAAGTCAAACGAAGGAACGTCTGGAGAAAAATATTGAAATATTTGATTGGGAACTGACCGATGAACATTTCAAGAAACTTAAAACTCTGGATAGAAATATGAAATATTTTGATTTTCCGTGGGCTAAAAACCACCAGTATTTCTTTCCAGATGAACCGTTTTAATTTAAAATATAGAACTGTTTATATTGTTTGACTGGTAAGATACAAACTGTGAGCAATTGTATTTTAAGAAACTGGAGGCATTTTTGAGATTCTTTTAATCATCAGCCGAACTGAGACCAATTTAAATTATGTAAGAAACTATAACAAGAAAAAGTGAAATGATCCGTATATTGTTGTTTAAGCTCGAGAGTACCCAATCCCACCTTTCTATTCTATTCAATTCTATACCTAAAAAGGGACACTAAATTGTTGAAAATCATCCCATCATCTTGTAGCAAATCAACAAAGGGCGACGAGCTGAATGTTTTGTTACTGAATAAATATATTTTAATTCTAAAACAAATATACAACAAAAGAACTTAATAAGATAAACAACTTAAGTTCAATAATGCATGCGTATTTTATTAAATATCTGAGTTATAAATGATAACTTTACATTGTCTCATCCAGTCACACGATCATCAATTTTTCGTGGAACAAGCTTTCCTGTACATCTTCAAAGTTAAATCTAAGCTTTTCACAACCAAATCTGCCGACCCTTGCCAAAACTAAGTGACTACCAGATGTGTAGAATACAGGAAGCTAAGTGCTTACCCTTTTTGAAACACCTGATGTTACTTCTCTTTGGAGGAGTCCACTACTATACAACCTTTACTCTTGACTTTGCCATACTTTGAACGAGATTTAAATTAACGGAATTGTCTTGCTTGTAGAGATTTTTATTCCAGCTGAATATTTAATTATATATTCTAGGAACAAAATTCAACAAAGAATACATGCGTCAATTCTACCTATCATTTTAATTATATACAACAGAACTAGAAAAATATCACAGTTTTCTTAGATCAGCAACAAACTAAATAATGGACGGAATGGTTACAATATATATATATATATATATATACTACTAGTTAATAATAATAATAATAATAATAATAATAATAATAATAATAAAACAATGTCTAAAGATATTTCTACGAATAGTCTACTTTATCTTTTAGGTAGATTAAGAAGAAATCAACACAATGCTTGTTAGTTTATTTATTCTACCTAAAATGAAAATGGACTATTCGGACTAATCAGAACCGGAGAGGCACAAATATCTTTGTATAAATACTCAGACGTGGACGGATTGTTACCTTTGATTATATACATAAATAAATATAATATAATATGAAAGATGTTTTGGTCCAAGGATGCAGATATGATAAAAAAAATGTAACATGAACAATCTCCTTGGTTTGATGTACACTAGTGTAGACTATATAAAATATTAAAACAATATAGACCTGTCTGTAAGACGAACTTGGATTGATAGGTGTACATGTAATTAAATAATATTACACAGGTGTAAGGTGGAGCAAGGATATCATACTACTTGAATTTGAGTTCGATTAAATAGTAGTTGAAGCTATATAAAGCATCTAATGCGTTTATTATACTTAAACCCCCTCACATTAAAATGGACTGCTCGTGTTAATTATTGGTATCGTCCACGGATGTGCTCATCTCTCTTTGCTCGACCATAGTTCGATTGGTGAATTCTGCACGTTTGGGATTTATGGAATCAACGGAACGTTCAATAAAACAAGTGCAGAACGCGTTCCACGTGTGCCGAAAAAAAAGTAGATGCAGATAGCAATCAAAATGGCAGAGGAAAATTTTGAATGTGACATATCCTCTTTCATACCGTTTGATTGAGGGTAGAATTGGAACAGACGACAACTGTTCAGAACTCTCCAATCGATCGCCACCAATACGTACATATATACATAAAATACAATACTTTATACAAATATATGACAGACATGATATACATATATATACTACAGTAAAAAATAATGTATTGAAGGCGAGGAATGGTAGATAGCACTAATAACTCATAATAACTCATATTTAGAAATACACGTAAAGTCGGGAAAAGTTTTCACGTCGGTGCATGTAACCTTCAAAACAGACAAGAAACAGTCCATATTATTTTAAAGTGATGAAGTTATCGAAAACACAATAATTTCTATTTTACCTACGAAATTAAATAGACTCTTCTTGTTCGTAAGTGCATTTGACCCAAATATCTGGCACGTATTCCACAACAAACTATCAATTTTAGGTGGAGTTTCTCTTTGATATGATAGTTTACTAAAAAATATTAAAACAGTTTACTTCTATAGAGATGATGAATTTCAAATTGAGAAAATGATGTTTTAGTTATGATAAGAATTTCATTCAAGAAGAAGTAGGCCATTGAAAATAAACGAAACAAACTTTACACAGCTCTGTTGTTAGTATAAGATCTACATTGGCGCTGACATGTAACCAGTTTTGGACTGCCGGAAACCTTTAGGGGTCTTTTTCTTCTTCTTTCCTTTGGGGCTGCTCTTGGGATCCTCTGGGGGTTTAGGACGATCTCGCTCTACCCTGGATTTATAATTCGACTGTTGATCTACCTTCACCGAACACATCTGCGTCAATTTAGGGAAATTTTTAGGGAAGCCATTCATAAGTCTGTTGTCAGAAACGTCTATTTCTTTGATGGCTGGAAGTTTGCAGATACTCTCTGGCAGAGATTCGATGATGTTATCTGACATATCGAGAATTTCCAAAGATTGCATTTTGATGATGTCTTTCGGCATGGCTTTTAGGTCATTTCCCGCCGCCTTGAGAATCTGTAGTCTGTAGAGGTAAGGAAAGTCTACAGAGAAGGCGTCGATGTGATTTTGTGAGACATCCAACTCTCGTAGCGACGCAAGAACATCAACACGATCTTTAGGAAAGGTCAGTAACTCGTTGTGGGAAAAATCCATCTTCATGAGCTTATTCAACTCGCCGAAATCGTCTGTTAACAGTGTCATCTTGTTGTGGGACATGTCCAGATATTCTAGAGAAAACAGCTTGACGATTCGGGGTTGAAATGCAGCTATCTTGTTATGAGAGGCGTCAAGATGGCGGAGATTCTTCAGGTCGTCAATGACAATGGGAACTTCCGTTAATTCGTTATGGCTGGCGTTCAACTTCTGAAGTCTTTTCAATCTCTTGATATTATCCGTCAAACTTTTGATTTGGTTTTTAGAAACGTCTAAATGTTCCAGGAATCTGAGATTAAAGATGGCGGGTGGGATCTCGTCCAGCTGAAGTTCTGTGATCTGAAGTTCTTTAAGGACTTTAAGATGTTCCTTATCGCCAACTACCACTAACGGTGATTTTAGATCAGTAGGGTTCACGGTGAGAGGGTTGTTGGACAAGTTGAGATACGCCAACGTTCGTGGAAGATGTAATTCAGTCATGCCATTGTGAGAAACATCCAAAGAATATATCTGATACAAGAACTCGACTGATTTCGGCATGGCGGCGATTTCGTTGTGGCTCATATGGAAAACCTCCAGATTACGAACCTTTCTGAGGTCTTGTGGTAGTTTAGCCAGACGATTGTACGAAATGTCCAAATATGTCAGCACTTGATCTTCTCCAAGAGTTTCCGGTAAAATGGTGATCTTATTTTTAGAAATATTCAGCTTTTTCAATGCTTTCAGATGTCCGACACATTCGGGAATTTCCCGGATTCCATTTTCAGAAACATCCAGAGTGAGCAATGCCTTCATATCCTTGATTTCGTTAGGTACAACTTCTATGGCGTTACCACCAACGTATAAATGTTCCAGTGCTGTCAGAGTTACTGCAAACTTCATGGATTTGAGTTTATTGTGAGACACATTGACAGAAAGCAGGGTGTGCATCTCTTTCGTACTGGTTGGTAGAAACTCGATCTCATTGTGTGAAGCATCGAGTAACTTCAGCTTCTTCAGTCGACAGATGTCGTCCGGAAGAACCGCAATTTCATTATGAGCAACTTTAAATGTATCCAATGCGTAACCAAGATGGCAGATCTCGTCTGGCAAGGCTTTCAGTTTGTTGTTGGAAATGTCCAGATAATGAAGGTATTTCACCTGACCAATCTGAGGCGGAAGTTCATCTAGATTATTATGGGATAGATCTAGATATGTCAAACACTGAAGTTTACTAATAGAATCGGGTATAAAAGCGATGGTATTGTGACTTAAATCCAGTTTTTTAATTTGAGGTTTTTTCACTGATACTGCTGGTATTTCACTGATTCTGTTCCCGCACAAATTCACAAAAGCTGGAACGTCGTATACGCCCTTTTTAAACGTACGGATAATGTTATACGATACGTCTACGTGTGACAACGAGTTTGATTTTCCGATATTTTTGGGCAAGGTGCGTAATCTGTTTTTAGAAGCGTAGACTGTATGAAGAGCTGTAGATTTGTGAATAGAAGGTGGTAATTTTTTGATATTATTATTCGTAATGTCCAGAATTTGCAGTTTTTTCATCTTGGCGATGGAACCAGGGAAAGTGGAAAGATTGTTATTCTTGATATTGATATTCTCCATGTTATGAAGGTTCGATATCGATTTCGGCAATCGTTTTAATCGATTATTTTCAGCATTGAATTTCACCGATAATAAACTAAGTTCCTCATTGTCGTAGATTTCGATTGGTAGTGTCTTCATATTGGCCGTTCCGAACGATAAAAACACCTTCTTTCCATCCCCTAGTCTTTTAATATGACCCTTCTTCAATGGTTCCGGTAGAGCAATAATTTTACTTCCGGGTCCCGTAGCAGGGGGTGGCTTCTCTTCCTTCTTCCGTCGGAAACTTTTCGGTCGAGACATTTTGATGCTGGTCTAAACCAATATCTGAAATATAAAGAAAACAATATTTAGTTGATATTTGGACTGTGATAGAAATAGGTGTCTTTCGGTTTTCTTTTTTGTGATTTTCTACGATTATTTTCGAAGGTTTTAGGCCCACGTGATAGTCTTTTAGAGCTTTTCGATTTCTCAAAAGCAACGATTTAGCATATTTATACACTGATTGATGTACCTCAGAAGAGACTAAAAGAGGAATCGCTCCCCAAATTCTCTGTAATATCGTAATACGATAAAAGGAAAGAAATCGTGATTTATTTTGGTATTAATATTCTCCAAGACTTTCAAAGAATGAGGACAAAACATATTCTCGATCGTGAGTCACTGAGTATTTTCACTCTGAGAAGAGAGCAGAGTTGTGGACTAGTAATTTATTAATTATAGAGATATATTAGTATATCTGATATGAATATCAATATAGATCCACAATAAACACCGTCATATTATAGATTGATTATAGATTAACTATATTACATGAAGTTCTACATTACACAATTATAGATTATCTCCCCTTGAGTAAAATTGTTTCAGCGTGGATTATCTTCCCTGTAAGAAGTTCAATTACAGAGTATCGACCCTGTGTGAATTTGTCGATAATCGATTATCTAAATAGATGGTTTATATATACGAGGAAGCTTGAAGCTTGAAATAATATGGATTTAGTATGTAGACCTATTGTACAGCTCTTAAGATCGATTTACAGACATCATTGATTTTAGATTACCTCCCTTACAGGAAGTCCTCCATTGTTTAATTATAGATTATCTCCCCTACAGGAAGTTAGCCATTGTTCATATATAGATTATCTTGTCCAAGTAAAGAGATTACAGACAGACTACACGTTTTCAGAATATTCAGAATTGATTGGGCGTGGCTAGTTCTTTATTCTAATTGAAGAACATTTGTACAGAAAATTCAGTGTTTAACATTTTGGAAATACGTAGTAGGCCTTATTCCTTTAACAAAGCACAAGAAACACGAAGTTAATGATAAAAACAATGAACTTGACTTTGAAACTCTGAAAATACTATTAGAATGATTTGCCTTTTATTACAAAGAGTATTTTGTTTCGTCTTACTCAAAAGCTAGATCTATCAACACCTTTTCTTTTGATTTGAGCAACCGTCAGTGTTCGAGCAGTTTAAAACGTTTTCAAAGTGTTTTAATATTTATGTTGAATCAGTTATGAAAATTAATGATTTATTTTACGTTTTTTATTGTCGTATTATTCACTCATAGATATTATTTTACGTGATATAATACAAGTTAATATCGTGTGACCCTAGCTGTTGACCCCTACTATATATTCTACCCCGTAGCTGTTGACCCCTACTATTTATCTCACCCCCCTAGCTGTTGACCCTACTATTTATCTCACCCCCCTAGCTGTTGACCCTACTATTTATCTTACCCCCCTAGCTGTTGACCCCTACTATATATTCTACCCCGTAGCTGTTGACCCTACTATTTATCTCACCCCCCTAGCTGTTGACCCCTACTATTTATCTTACCCCCTAGTTCTCATATCGTGTTCCTTATTTACACCGGGTAAAGTCAAAACATGTCTACTTCACAACGTCGTCTTATACCTTGAGTGCATTAGCCACCTTTCTTGTATCATGGAATTTGATTGGATAGTACGCCAGCGAATGCAGCCAATCGGACCGTTCGTCACAAAGACTGTAAACTTTATGTCTTATGGTTTATGTAGACTTTCTGTCGAGGTTCCTCATTGGCTGTATTCGCTATCAATTCAATCTCTGATCTGATGAGAGAAAGGTGGCTATTGTGGTCAAGGTATAAGATGATGTTCGTAACAGCTGATGAACATGATGATATCCTGTTGCGATATAATTGTCATAACTTCTTTTAAGTTTTACTTTTGAAAGAGTTGTCCAATAGCCGTTCCATATAGGTACTGAGGTTGGTGTCATAAGCGAGGTAGGACCTCAACCCCCCAGCCCCGCCTCTACCCCAACAAACTCAACCCCTAAAATAGATTCTATCCCACCAATTAGGCGAATGAGTATGTAGATGTAAGATATATAAAGAATATTATAGAAGCCGTCTTTGAATCTCCTCGCACAATTTTAATACCGTTATAGAATTGGCTCTATATCTTCTTGCATTGAAATGAAATGGAGTTTTACTTCCCAGCTGTCTGTTGAAAGGTCGGATAATGAAGACAGTTATAAAAATACACCTACCTGTGTTTAATATACTCCACTTTCCTAATCTAATCCTATACGAGGAATATCCAATTTGAACCAGTGTGAAAATAATTATCCAATTTCAACCTTATGTTAAAATGTACAACTTTTGTTCAATTCAAAAGACAAGTTTGTTCTCGTCTGCTCGAGTTGCGAGTGAAGCCGATATAGATCTATTGATTGGTTAGAGAATAAACTTCACTCCGACTAGCCCTTTAATAGCCTGTCGTCAGGTGATAATCTGGACAGCTATCTCCGTCAATAATTAAACTTCTTCCTAATCTAATCTATTATACATAATACTATTATGGCGATTATGGCTTAATTAATACCCTTTCATGTCCATTATGGACAACTCGTCACTCCAATAGCGGCTTATTGTCACTCAATGTCATGTCAAGTGTGGTTAAGTTTGTCGGTAACAGCTATCCAGAATATAATACTATAACCCTTTTGTGTGTGCGGTTGTTATGCCTAGATAATAAGTTGTCATTTCACTTGTGAAAATGTTGTTTGTTTACCCTGACTACGACAGCGAAAGTCCCTTATCAATACTGTATGACCTACCCAACACCATTTTTTTTCATTTCTTCCCATTTATACAGAAGACCATCTAAATATAACCCTCTTATCAAAATTTAAAGCAGACAAAGTTGCCTGTGTTTAAAATCAAATGAACACAAGGGGTTAGTTGACAAAATAGCGTTTGTGTGGGTGAAAAAGGGTGGGGGAGGGGGGGGGGGGGGGGTAAATGGGTTCTCTTGATTGAATAAGGTAGTAATAAACGATTTCACCATAACCATATCTAAAATTCTTGTTTTCTTTTTGATTTATTTTTATTTTTTACTTCAAAAATCTGTTAGTTATTAGCAAGTTGTGCTGTCGCCTGCTATGCCTCTTTTCCTCTCAATCACTTAAACATGAAACACGGTAAGCCGATAGATATACACCAATGATACAATATTATCCTTGTAGTTATAATGGCGTGCTTGTGGTCAAGAATAAATCCGATTTCGGCCAGACTTGTAAAAAATAGATTTTAGTAAAAAGGTGTATAGTACAGCCTAGCTTGAAACTATTATATATAATACGGTCTGATTAGCTACTTATAATCACCTAACAATAGAATTTAAAAATATTTACACTTTTTCACTCAACCAGATTAAATTTGTACCTTTGTGGACCGAACATAATTAAGAAAAAAATCATTTTTTAGTCTAATTTTTAAAATCCTATTAATTAAAACCAGGCATTTTGAAATATTTGTATCATGACTGACTATTGGTCTATATTCTAACAGAGAGGTTATATTATGTGTTTTAATTTCTACATTTAAATAAATTCATAATTTATAACTAATATTAATCAAAAACTCGCTGGAAACGAAGTGATAAATTGCTGTATTAAATATATCGTTTCAGTGTCCTTTCTGGAAAATCGAGAAAAGCGAACTTCGTAGAAAACATTGGAAGATTTAAAAAAAATAAAACAGGATACTTTGGACAAATATTGTTCCTAAATTTTTCTGGAATTTGTGTATAGAACAGAAACTAATAGTACGTTTAAATAAAATATTAGATATTCTGAACAGTTATTGCTTCTGGATCGTCTGATGTTCCAACGATGTGTTTTTACAAAGGATTAAAATAAAGTATTTTGTACTCAAGGTTTCTTCCAATTCCACGTGATCAGGAGGTGAAACTGGTTTCTGAATTTTCTGGTGAAAAACATCTGATAAATAGGAAACTATCGTGGTATATTTGCCATGTAATATAAAGTATCATAACCAAGTATATAATTCAGTTAGAATTTGGAAATAAACACAGCATATATTGGTTCTTATCTAAAAATATTACTTGACACTAGGCAATAACTTTACGAATAGACAGAGTTTATAATGATCAGAGTAGGTTCTATATAAGACAGTAATATCTGATGTTATAATGAATTGCTGTGTATCTGATATTGTATCTGTATCTGATATTGTATCTGTATCTGATATTGTATCTGTATCTGTATAAAAAAGAACAATTAAGAGATATTTGGTGTATAAAGAGTTAATATGTTAATCTACAGCTTATTGTGGTTATATTTTAAATATAAATTCCACGAGGAAGAAACCGGACAGGATCATCTCGTACAAGGTAAGTGGAAGAGTGGGAAGGGTGAATTCTCGGAAACACTGAGGGTAAGGGGGTAGGTCGACCCGCCCCCCCCCCCCCCCCTCCCAGTTTTTCAAATCATCCAGTTCTTAAATGTCTATTATAGTGCTGTGAGCTACCGCCTTGGATAACAATGTAGACTAAAATATCAGAAAACAAAAAAATAAAAATTTTAATATTAATTAGATTGATTGATGTAGTTTATTCCATTTCTTAACATCATTAACAACAGAGTCGAAATATTTAGCCAGTTCACAGTAATTACTATCAATAGTTAACAATTCAAACTTCTGTTTCCCTTCAACAATTCCCTCTAAATTGTATTTCAGTATTTTAAAAACTTGTCGTTGTTGTGCTAACAATCTTCGTCTCTCAGCAGTTTTAGTTTGGAAAAGTTCTTTAGAATTCATTGTAGGTCTATAATCTGGTACAAAGTTTTTAAGGATGTCAATGAAAATAGATATGTCATTTAGATGCATATTTGAAACTATTTCTGGTACTAACAACAATTCGGTCACTCTAAGAATTATATTGATTTTGTCGATTTCCAAACAACCTCTGTCAACAACCTCCTTCAGTTTTCCCAACCAACGTTTAACTACAAATTTCAATTCTTTTTTACTTTTAAATTCGTGGTTTTTAAACCAATTGTTCATAGCAACACACCATAACTTCCCTGCATCGCCTTTCTCTTTCCATTGGGTAATATTCTGTTGCCATTTTAACACAGTAGTTTCTATCACCAGCTGGGGAAACGGGTAATCGGGAAATGCATGTTTAATCATTTCCTCCTTTTTCTGAAAAGGAAACGTGAAAAATCACATCTTCACAATGTCAAGCCATTGCGAACTCCGTACTTATACCTTGACTACATTAGTCACTATTCTTGTATCACGGAATGTAGTGATTTGATTGGATTGTACGTCAGTAAATAAAGCCAATCAGAGCCCTGGACAGAAAGACATTTAAAGGGGTATACAGCTTTTTTGTAAAAAAGTTTTCATTATCAAAAACTTATTATACCTGAAATTATTTCTAAAGTATGCTATTTATATCTATGTATCTCCTTAATCAAACTTAATTTGTTTTAAAAGGGTTAATTACAAACGATCTAGTTTCAGTGTTTGGCATTATAATGGCTTGATATTATTAGTTGAAACCTTTAGAATATGTAGGAGACAGATGTCTCTACAATTAGGCGTTTATTTTACTCAAATTCGTAGATAGTTTTCAAAAATTATAACGTAAAAACGTAAGAAACTTGTGTTATAATGAATGGTCACATATAATTATTGGAATAATTTACCTGTTTTAAATCAGATTCAAGTGTTGAGCTTAATTCGTTGTAGCCTGCATCAGCTAAGGATTTGAGCAGTTTAGGATAAGCATTTGCACCAGAGAAATTAAAAATCATGCCAACGATTTCTTTTCTTAGTTCTTCTTCTTTCTGTCTAATTCTTTCCATTTCATCTTTATTTATAAGGTTGTTATGAAAAATATGTTTTAACAGAATCTTCGAGTCGAGCTCCTTCACCAATCTCTCATGGTTGTCGTTCAAAACTTCAAACTCAACTTCAGACCAGCTACCTCTCTGTTTTGTGGTACCAGTATTCTCTGAATCAAGTTGTTCATTTTTTTGCTGAAATAAACAGGAAAATGATAGATGACGACAACTAGAATATTTTTCTGTCAAAAGATTTGATCAAGAATCATCTAGTAGACAGGATGTGCGAAACATTAAATGTTGACCGTGGCTGGTAGAAAGGATTCTTGAGAACCTATGTCACGAGGCAAGAAAAAAGGCTAGTAGGCCAGAGGGAAATTGCGAGAAAGCAAAGGAAAAAGGCGCGAAGGTGAGAAAGGGAATAGGATACATGGTAACTTGGTCACAGGAAATTTGGTCACCGGAATATGGTCACAGTAATACGGGCATAAGGTATTTCGGTCACAGTAATACGGACACACGGTATTTTGGTCACAGTAATACAGGCACGAGGTATTTTGGTCACAGTAATACGGACACACGGTATTTTGGTCACAGTAATACGGGCACACGGTATTTTGGTCACAGTAATACGGACACACGGTATTTTGGTCACAGTAATACGGGCACACGGTATTTTGGTCACAGTAATACGGGCACAAGGTATTTTGGTCACAGTAATACGGGCACACGGTATTTTGTTCACAGTAATACGGACAAACGGTATTTTGGTCACAGTAATACGGACACAAGGTATTTTGGTCATAGTAATACGGACACACGGTATTTTGGTCACAGTAATACGGGCACACGGTATTTTGGTCACAGTAATACGGGCACACGGTATTTTGGTCACAGTAATACGGGCACACGGTATTTTGGTCACAGTAATACGGACACACGGTATTTTGGTCACAGTAATACGGACACACGGTATTTTGGTCACAGTAATACGGGCACACGGTATTTTGGTCACAGTAATACGGACACACGGTATTCTGGTCACAGTAATACAGGAACGCGGAATTTTGGTCACAGTAATACGGGCACAAGGTATTTTGGTCACAGTAATAAGTCCGTATAACTGTGACTATATTTCCGGTGGCTAATTTACTGTGACCAACTTAACTACATCCAAGGCCTCAGTCAGCTTCCATAATTAGCCTATTAATGCTTGAATTATTAGAATCATTAAAACATGGTGATGATTTACAACTTACCAATTGACTGAAAAAAACCACCAAAAGGCAGAAAATGAAAAACTCAAAAATATTATCCATCCTTTAAATCCTTCAATATACTCAATAGGTAAACAACAATTTAGGAGATATTAAGTTTAGAAGGTAGGGCATTATATCCCTATTATCGATATGGGAGAGTGAGAAACAATATATCTATAACGATCTGGGTGTATCCATATTGACGATATTTTAAATCTACTTTCACTTTTCAAGTGCCAGTTACTGATTATGGTTGTCGTAATTTTAAAATCTTGAAAATCAATGTATTTTTGCTTAGAATAATATTTTAGTTTAACTATGGTTTTTATATAAACCTAAGCTTAATTAATTGAATATGATATTAGTTTTAGTTTTGATTACATTTTACGACAATCAAAAACTATCGGTGTCATGCATAGAGTTATATATTATTATGTTTCTATATAACTCTATGGTGTCATGGTTCCTCCGACAGAGTCCGACACTCCGACAAGACATTTGAGACTTGTTATTCGCGACTTGAAAAGCACGTTTTTATCGGTTTATCGTTTTTATCACGCAGGCTGCAATAAAAAGTTGGAATGTTTTTATTACGTATGAAGAAACGAAACAATAGATAAATCATTTTTCAACATCTATCGTATGTCTTTTGACAGCAAATGTTCAGCTATCCCACTGTGGCGAGTTTCAACGTGAAAAAAGTAAGCGCGCCATGTTATTATTTTCTTTACATTTTACTTGTGAGTTGAGATTTTGTCGCCGACTGCATTTTCGAATTTATCATTGGAATGTGGAATTCATATTTCCGCAGAATTGTATTTTATAAACACTGGTCCTCATATCGAACAAATGTCGTATGAGATAAATGATATTTCACAGACTGGTGACGATGCTTCTGTGAGTGGAGAGGGGTAGCAAATGAACTAATGGTCTTCTTGCCATTTGACCATAAATTGTATGAATAGTGCGCCGCACTTAGATGTTCTCTGATGCCAAATTGTGCCTAATTTACAAGATGACAAGAAGAGCATTAGTTCGTTTTGCGACCCATCTCCACTCACAGAAGCATCAGCCAAAATATTTCTCTAATTGAAAACTGTATGGCATTGTCTATCTTCATTAGCCAAATCAGGTGCAAAATTTAGGACGTACAAATTCATTTCATTTCAGTTATACCTTGAACGACATTTAGAATTGAGGGCTACATATCACAAGGACAAGACAGTATTATATAATAAACACACTTCTTTAATACAATATTAAACACATAACGTTTCAACACAATTTACACTTGTTGTCATCAGTTGAAATAATAGAGAATTAAACCTGATGCTCTTTAATGGCCCGTATGCACCAAATGAAATTAAGCCTAATTTAATTATATTCTGCCCGAATAACATTAACTTTTAATTTAATTCTATATTTTGTATGCACCACATAGAATTACCTAAAATGTATTGAAAAATTGGCTAATTTAATGCTAAACTTAAAGTTGGTCGAGACCAGTTTTAGCTTTTAATTCTATTTGTAAATCAGTAGAAATTCGATGTTTCAAAATGGACGATTATTTCGATGATTTAGATGAACTTGGTGAAATCAACCGTGTTATTCCCATCAATAGACATGTCAGGAATCGCCTGGATCCCTTCACATGGTTTTCGGAGGAGGAATTTAAAGCAAGGTTTAGACTGAATAAGCAATCGGTGTTGAATATCACTAATAGTTTGCAAAAATGAAACATGACATGGATTCCATATCAAATTTATTATGACGTTCATTTGCTCCTTCGACGAATAGAATGAATTAAAGATATTGTTTGATCTTACTCTTGTTGATAATTGTCATAAAAGCTGTAACACACAATTATTAAATTCTAAAATAACCTTATTTGGACCCCATTTCTCATGCCAATACTTCTACTTTTTCTTACAGGGATGACCGGTTTAGTTGAAGGAGGTGATCCACATCATTATTCTCCTAATGTTCCAATCTTCCTGGTAGCTCTTCTCTACCCAAACTTTAACAGTAAAAGTAAGTATATGTTTTTATACTGTTAATTTAACATTTTCAAACATACATTAAAGCTATCGTGTTCTAGTCATTGTCATTGTGCCTCTCTTACACATAGAGAATGTAGCTATCGTATAAAAGATAATGGCAAACAATAAAATAAATCCAGAGTAACTTAACAAGCTAAAATTTAAGTGGCAATAAGAATATGACGAACCATATATAGAGGACGTCGGGGAGTATTGTACGAAACGTTTCCAGCGTATCTGGAAAAATGCCCGGGGAGGGGTGGGGCAAAAAGGACACTTAAGGCTAGAGGATCTTGGGGCAAGCCAGATATCAACGAACTTCAGATGGCCTAGGAACATTGCAGGGCTTAATTTTCACTTCAAAATAAAATCTTTCAAAGGCGTGATTGGATTCACAAACTAGACGAGGTATATACTGACTGTAGTATTATATTGTATTATAGAAGTATTTGAGTATTATATAGAAGGTAGTGAAGACAGACTAGACGAGGTGTATACTGACTGTATTATTATATTGTATTATAGAAGTATTTGAGTATTATATAGAAGGTAGTGAAGACAGACTAGACGAGGTGTATACTGACTGTATTATTATATTGTATTATAGAAGTATTTGAGTATTATATAGAAGGTAGTGAAGACAGACTAGACGAGGTGTATACTGACTGTATTATTATATTGTATTATAGAAGTATTTGAGTATTATATAGAAGGTAGTGAAGACAGACTAGACGAGGTGTATACTGACTGTATTATTATATTGTATTATAGAAGTATTTGAGTATTGTATAGAAGGTAGTGAAGACAGACTAGACGAGGTGTATACTGACTGTATTATTATATTGTATTATAGAAGTATTTGAGTATTATATAGAAGGTAGTGAAGACAGACTAGACGAGGTGTATACTGACTGTATTATTATATTGTATTATAGAAGTATTTGAGTATTATATAGAAGGTTGTGAAGACAGACTAGACGAGGTGTATACTGACTGTATTATTATATTGTATTATAGAACTATTTGAGTATTATATAGAAGGTAGTGAAGACAGACTAGACGAGGTGTATACTGACTGTATTATTATATTGTATTATAGAACTATTTGAGTATTATATAGAAGGTAGTGAAGACAGGCTAGACGAGGTGTATACTGACTGTATTATTATATTGTATTATAGAAGTATTTGAGTACCTATAGAAGGTAGTGAAGACAGACTAGACGAGGTGACACTGACT